CCACAACCCACTACTACTGATAACGCTAGTTGTAACCGTAACTGTTAACTGTCAGTCGATAACACGGGCCACTCATCACCGCCGGTGGTGGAGCACCACTCCACTCAGATCCAATCCAGCACACTTCCCTTACCCCAAGCCGCTGCAAGGATGGTGGAGGGGGTGGTGCCGCTGTGGGACTGGACGAGAAATATATACCTATACCTTTTATTTACCTCTTGTATGTATATGTAATGTTATTTATTTATGTATTTTACCATTGCCACATATGCCAAACACTCGAACACACACCTGCAGTTGTTCACCGCACTGCTCGGTGGCTATTCATGTGTGTGGGCACCATTCATTAGAAACATATTTCAGTTACTCCAACCCAGCGACAGAATGGTCCGACGCAACCAAGTCCTACATATGTCCTATAAACAAATACTATAAGATATCGGTCAATTTCCGTAGTTAGGATAAGGCTACAACCAAATACCAATACCAATACCAAATACCAATACCAAATACCAATCATACCAAACCCAAATCCACCAATCCACCAATTTGCAGGAAACTCGCCCAAGAAACTCTTCTCATGCCAGCTCTGCGGTAAGCTCCTCTGCTCAAAAGCCTCGCTCAAGCGCCACATTGCCGACAAGCACGCCGTGCGCCAAGAGGAGTACCGCTGCGCCATCTGCGAGCGCGTCTACTGCTCCCGCAACTCGCTCATGACGCACATTTACACGTACCACAAGTCCCGTCCCGGCGAAATGGAGATGAAGGACATTAAGCTCTATAACCAGTTCAACTCGTCGATCTGAGACTTAAAGCCCTTGCCGGGTCGCCTTAGCAGCGTGCCACAGCAAAGTCAACCAACAAAGCCACAGCAACAATCAACAGCGATGAAAGCCAGCACGACCACGACCATGACCTTGACCACCCCGACCACCGTAACCACGCCGACTCACACTCCAAGCCAGGCTCAGACTCCTACCTCAAATCCGATGGCAGATCACCAGGATCTGCCCATCTACCCATCTAAGCGACCAATGCCGCTGAACGACCAGTATCAACTGCTAATACAGCAGCGACAGATTATGACCCTGTACGACTATTACCTCTACCAGCGTAACAGTCACAGTCTCAGTCTCAGTCACAACCTCAACCACAGTCACAGCCACAACCACAACCACAATCACGGTCAAAGTCACAGCAGCAGCCACGGCCCTTCGATTGCCACCACGAGCAACTAGACATCGGCTAGAACCTAGCTCAAACTTAAAGCAATGCCATTATGTAGTGATATATATACATACCTACCAATCTATTATACACGACGAACAAAACGAGTAGGCCCCATTATCATTAGGAGGGGACGACTACGATCAATACAATTAATCGCGTATTATAACAAAAGACATTAGATGTAAGCTAGTTATATGGGGACATTTGAAACACTTTTAGATTAGACCTAGATTAGTCGGATCAACCTGTACATCGACTTGCTGACTTTTTCACAACTCACGCCTATGGACCAGTATATAGAATACGGATATACACTATTTACACTCTGTGGCCTTCTTTTACCTTATACCTCATACAACGTACTCGTAGTCAATTTTACAATTATAGCTATTTTCGTGTTTCTGTTGGTTCGAAAACGTACGGACCTCGCACAAGTTGCCTTTCTGAATATCTGCGTAATTTTTCACTCTACCTAGACAAACTGGACAGATTATAACGTGCTTTCTTCCGCAACATAAATATACTACTATGAAGCAATAAAATATATACATATATATATATATATTTATAACATATACAATATAACTCGACGACGATAGTTGATAATGAAATTAAGGCGCAAGAATAAAACTTAGGAGTAAGTCCCCAGTTTGCCGATCGACTTGTGCCTAGAGCTATAAATGTTGAAGCAAGAACAATAACGGCGTGGCATTGTGCGGCTCGGCTTTTCTCAACAAGATCAAGGAGAACTACCAAACAACACCCAAAACAAGAAAACACAATGTGTCGAGCGGAGAATAAGATCGAGATGCAAGAGAAGCAGACTCCTGAATCTTGCCCAAATCGGAGGGATGATGTAATGATGTACCAGAATGCCAGTGCCGCAATTTGCAATTTACTCGCTACCAGCGTCTCTCTACTCGCACCCGCTACTCGTTATTCAGTCAGTAGAAGATCGCGCGCTTGCTAAAGGTTAGCCCAACATCTTAAACTACATTGGTAGCCAAGTATCCGACCATGCGCCGATACGTAGTTAGTACATTACATGCTATCTCCCTCTCATGGCCACGTTCTACACACTGTCTTACTCTCTACTGAGCCCAGCCGTCTCTACTCGGCTGTATCTGCATCTGTCTGTACAAGCATTTCTTCTTCCTCTGTACCTATCCTTTATCTCCTTGCCAATCACACTAACGATCCATTAAGCGTGCTTCGCCTTCTTCGCGATACGCTCTAATCTGTACAAATTGTTTCTAGATGAAAACAATTAACCCGACCAGCCACTGTGCAAAATCAGTCAGTGTATGGTTAGCTTGGCACTAAAAATATGCACTCTCCTCGTCTAAACTCGCCGCTCTGGCCATCATCCGCCTAAGTACTCTTTTGTATATTGTAAACCATTGTAAATTGCCTGCTCATTCGCGCTCGGAACTCTACTACCAGTTCTCGATCTGGCTCTCTTTCCACTAGACTCGCCGTAGCTATAATCTAACCACTCATGTACAAAGAACATCTGCGACCTGTAAGTACGACCCACTCACTCGCTACTGTAGTCGATCCCTGTCTCTCTCTCTCTCTCTCGCTCTCTCTCTTTCTGCCTATCTCTTCGTTTCCTACTCGCTCTATCTTACTCAACTCGCTTACACGTCTGACAACATGAATTACTCCATAGCTAAGCCACATTTAGACGTAACAACAGGGCGCTCACCTATCTATCCTCCTATTCACTCTCTATCTCAAGTTTTACTAACCGTAGTGACCAGAGCTATCTCGCTCCTCCCCGATTGATTTGGACATTTTCAGCTAAAGTCGCCGAAAGAATCACCCGGATGCGGTGGTATATCATTCCTCCCACTAACACCCCTTTCTCAGCTCCTTTGTACTTCTGATCTTCGAACCTCTGCTCCTCTTACGCAGCGTTGAAATGGCATCTGCGTTTCCGGTACTCGTATTGTTGTCACTTTCCTCTCTCTTTACTTTTCTCTGTCTCATTACCTACTGAACCCTCTGATGCAACTGTAAAAAATAAAAGTACTACCCACATATGTAAAACAACACTATTTTCAACTATTAATAGAAATATTGAAAAATACAGAACTAAACAATGAATAACGAACGCTGCAACCACAAATAGATCCTTAGAATCAGTCTCTTCAAATATTAAACTTTTTGTTTTGGTAAGTTTATGACGTCGGAGGGCCACGAAAAAAAAATACACACATATGTAAATCGAATCAAGATTCGCCACGCTTCTTTCACGCTTAATGCATCGAATCGAATCGGGGCCCCAACTACTTACTGCAATCATAGTTTATCATTTACTTACCGCTTTCGTTTCGTTAGATTTCCCTAATTAACATGCGAAAGAAACCCAAAAAGAAAACCTAAACCAGTCTAACAAACCGAAATGCAAATTAAAATCACCAGAATTGAATCAAAGCGAAGGGCGAATGCTCGCAAGACACATCTGAAATCCATATTCGAAATGTGAATAGCTTCTAATTTAGACTAATATTTATTGCTTTACTTTTGATTCTTTGCTCTCGCTAATCTCTCTGCATGCCACTCGCCAATTGCTACTCGCTTTGCCACAGCTACTCGCTTCTCGCTGATTGCTCGCTTAAGTGTCCTCAATCCTTGGCGACGACTTCATCTGCTTGCTACCCTACATCATCATCACAAACATACATACCCCACACACGCTCACAAATACACCCATAGACACTCATTCACACGTACGTGTTTTGATTGCATGTGCACAATGTTTGGTTTGTAGTGTAACTCGTTCGTACCTCGTATGTATATATGTACAAAATCGGTTGTTATATAGACTAATTTCCCTGTTTACGCCTACGAAGTAGTAACAAGAGTATAGTGTACAGATCAGTTTGAAATACTCAAAATCGTGCGTTCTCAGACCGCCGGCGAGTTTAGTTGGTAAGTGGCTCATGCATGCATTCGCCGCCACCAGAAACTCGACGGCTCCTAAAAAGGTATCTTAGCAGGAAAACAGTTAGTAAAATTAAGTAGAATTCCTTCTCTGCCATAACTCCACACATATGCACATAACATATAAGCTTAGACATGCTAAAAAAAAAACCGTCAAAACGAGGTTCAAACATATCAAGCCTACGACAAAATTAACCGCTTCCGTTTTCAATCCGACCCGTTTCCGATTCGTTCTCTGAAGAAAGCATATAATAAAGAAATAAGAGCACAACGAACCGGAAACCACGATCGGAGTAGCCAACGTAGTGGCAAAACCTAAATCTGAACTTGAAACGACACATGCATTTATCTTTACCTTTATAATTACACACATATGTATTCGAGTATTCAACTATATAACGCTTTACCTCTACTCTCTGCTAGCAATTAATTTAAATTTATCCAATTCAGGAAGTTCCTAGTGCTAAATTTGAGCATTCAAGCATTACTATCTACCGTGTTTTATTTTAAACATCTTCCTCTATCCTGTCCTATACTCCTGAAGTCCACTCTCCCCGTTCCCAGCCACTGAACTTGTCGCCCCGCAAGGGAGTCGATCCAAGTGACAATCTTCCATGTAACTTCACCCCTTAACGTGCACTTTTATTTTCATACTTCCTGAACCAACCACAAAAGCAATATAAATATCAATACCAATACCAATACCAAATACCAAAACCAATAAATAAGCCTAAACCAGTTCAAATTGATAAGACCCCACAGCCCTATCAACTACGCCAGTCCGACCGATCTAACGCCATTCTTTTTTATCTCCTGTGCAGGACCGCACAGCATCACCCGCTCCGCAGCTACCTCGCCCACCAGTTCTACCTCATCGCCGCCCTCGCCGCCCACAGCCCTGATCTCGCCGACCAGTTCGCTGAAAGGGAGTCTGGCCGCCGCCGTCTACAGCCTACAAAGCCACGCCCACGGCCATGTCCTGGGCCACGCCACCTCGCCGCCGCGTCCTGGCAGCGTGGGCAGCAGTGTGGGCAGCAACCTGTGCACCTCCACCTCCATGGGTTGTGGTGTGAACTCTGGCAACAACAACTGTGGCAACAACAATGGCAACAACGCGAACAGCAGCAGCAACAACGGCAACGCCACCAACAACAACAACAACAGCAGCACGAGTCCTGGCAGCCAGGCGGCGGCAGCAGGAGGAGCCGTGAACCAGGCGGGCACGCCACCGCTACCGCTCCGCATGCCACCACCCACCAGCGGCGGCATAAACGAGCCGCAGGAGTGCCCCTACTGCCGCAGGACCTTCTCGTGCTACTACTCGCTGAAGCGGCACTTCCAGGACAAGCACGAACAGTCGGATACGCTGTATGTGTGCGAGTTCTGTCACCGGCGGTACCGCACCAAGAACTCACTGACCACACACAAGAGCCTGCAGCACCGCGGCTCCAGCGGCATGCTGAAGCGGCTACTCAAGACGACCGCCATCAAACACGGACTGGTGGGCCACGGACATGGGCACGGACATGTCCACCACCCGCATCCGCACCACCACGCCCTGTCCCATCCGCGCACCAGTCTGTATGACTTCACCAGCGAGCTGGGACAGCCGCCACCGGGCATCCAATAGGAGCTAAGTTGGAACGCCATCTTTTAGAGAACGATAGAGACGTGGTCAGTCCATCAGTTAGTCCATCAGTCGGTTGGATGACCAGTCGGTTGGATGAGAAGCAGCAGCCAAGACCAGCTACAAATACTTTGCCCATTGTTTTCGCACTGGACCGACGATCCCCCAGAAAGCAAATGATCAGGGATCTAGATCTTCAGCGTGCACTAGGTCATAGCTAATTAATGATTAAGCATATTAGGCATATTTTGGCGTCAACTGTTTTATTATTCTTATCCCTATGTTAGGTAATTATTACGATTATTTTTTTGTGTATCTTAACTCTATTCGTACTATTAGTTATTTGTGCTGCTCTCACCTACTTAGTAGTTGAAGCACCTTCGCTGCTTCATGTGCAATACCTCAAGAATCGTGTAAATAATTTCGATAAATCTTAAATACCTCTGGAAGCTGCTGCACGAGCAGGCCAACAACACATACAAACATACATGCATACATATAAAACACACAATACAAACAGCGTGAAGTTGCGTTTACAGAATACTTATTAGAAATTAGAGTTATGTTACCATTAATGACAACAACAAATGGGAAGAGAACGAAGGACTAGAACACACACACATACACTCACACAATCAGAACCACAACTACAGCCAAAAGCACACAAACACACATGCTGGGGGTCGTGACCTGAGGGCGGGAGCGGTTGGAGCAATAACGGTACATATCATGCAACTGCAAATAAATCTGAATCTGCAGCTGAAACTTAATCTGAAACTAAAAATGAAGCTGCATCCGAAATCGCAACCGAATCTTAAATAGAATCTAAGCCACCTGTCGGGCGCTACCGGTACTCAGCCGCCGCCCCCGCACTTCCAGCATAAATATATGTGGTTGTCATTCGTGTGGTTGTGTTTTCGTTTAAACACACAGACACACACACATATATGCACACACGCACACAGCAACAGGCCAGAAACACACAATCATACAATGTACACTTTAATACTTTTTTTTACTAGTTTTAGGCGCATTAAACTTATTTTATTTGCCAACTGCTGCGCCAAACGTGCGTTCTCTAAAGAGTCGGATTCCAGTAAGAAAAGATAAAGGTCCTACGGATCGGCGGCAGATTAGATTGTATAAGATGTGTGTATTTTTTTTTCGAGGGAGCCCTAACTGTAAATGTAGCTCATATTTAAGACTAGAGTAAGCCTAATTCAAATCTAATGTTAAAAGTAGGTGGGGCACGGAGGAGATAAACGTGCAAAAAGCAAGAAACACAAGAGACAAGAAACAAACAAAAAACAAACAAAACAAACAAACCAACAAACAAAAGAAAAACGTTATCAGGGATTAAATATCAAGTATGCAGTAGGAAAGTAATTATTTCTACTTATTCACAAATACGACGAATAAAGTAACAGAAATTAAAATCATTTTTTTATATACACGTATACACATATAACAAAACGCGTATAAGCGATAAATGTGCATATGCGTACGCGTAAGCGATGAGAAACAACTATACTAAAGTCTATGTATACATGTATATACTTTACACCATTTACCATATACAATTTATAAGCCGATATGCCGATGATATACACATACCACGGCAACTAGTACGTCTGGTGTATAGAAGATAGAGGAGCTGTACACGTTTTTGCAAATCAAGAATTAACGTATTAAACAAAACCGCAAAGTAACTCAGTGATTTTTACCAGCGAAGTACAAATGTTCTGAAATTAAATTAACTAACAAGTAATAAGCGCCGACGCCGAGCAGATCAGAAAAGCATATTTAACGAAGTGCAGCCTGCAAGCAGAGCAAATCGAAAAGTATCTAGAAACGGGAGTAGCTATTCAGCGCAGAATCAGAAAAGGCCACAGTTAGCACTGCCCAAACAACATTGTACATGCCACTCGGGTCGAGCTAGAAAGCGATATCTGATCATGTTGCATCTGCGTCTCCAGCAATTGGGCACAGATGCAACCAGAAGGGGGCAGCCAATATGTGAAATATGTGAAGCGGCCCTTCTCAGACTGGAAGTGCAAAGAACCACCCACTAGCATCTGTGTTAAGAAAATGTTAAAGTCAAATAAGTACGAAGAATGTGTATCAATTCAATGTCTCAGGAATTTCTTAAAATTTACCCAATTTACACCTTATACTATAGAACACACACTGCAGGAACGTCTGGAAAGACAGCTAACAACAAAATCTTCCAACCAACACACCTCCAATGGTGCATATCATCATCTCATCATCAAGTGCGACTTTTCCGAATTCTTGTCAAAACGAAAACAAAAAAAACAAAATAAAATAGTTATAGGGGCATTAACACGTACCGATTGCAGTAAAGCAGTAGGAATAGGAACAGTTGTAGGAGAGTAATTAGTATTCTTTGTGCCATGCTACCCTGAAACAATAGCCCTACGAATAGGGATTGGAAGCCCGGGATCGAAAGCCCCGTGCAGTCGAAATAGGCATTGGTGATCAGCGGTCGGCGATCACTGGTCACCATGAGGTTTCCTTATCAGCGTACAAGCAAAGATCCATCCAGGTTAAACTACATATGCACCATAAGCCACATATGTCAAATATGGCAAGTATGGCATATGGGCAGGCACGTTCTCAGCTATCGGACCATAAGGTCAAGGGCAGTCTTGCTCCGTAGATCTGACATAGTCTTAATTAATTTATTCAACCTCACAGATACAGATACATAAGGTGGGGGAGGTTAGAAGGGGGTTAGGTGGAGTCGAAGGGAACGGAATGGATGAGCGGGATGAGCGGGATGAGCTGTGTGGCACTTTTGCTTTCCCCAGTTGAGGGTCCTAGGAGTCCCATTTTCATTTTAGCATAGAATTACTCTTCCGCGTACACTTACTTTTACTTTACACGTATTTATGATATTTTTTTTTTTCTAATTTTAGAACCTAATTTTAAATGTGTTTTATACTTTATTATTCTGAACTTGGACGGAATTACAGTTTATGCTAGTATTTAATTGGTTACAATTTGTAAGACATACTCCATTTATTAAATTTTTTTAATATAACGAATACGAATACGAAAAGAAAAGCAGAAACAAAAACAAAAACGAAAAATAATGCAAATGCAAAACAAACTGTGATCTTACAAATCTTTGAAGTGTGAAATTTTTAATTCTCCTTGTACGAAATTCCATTTTGGCTGTTTATATTTTTAATTATGTTATTACAAACGAGACAGTTAGTCTGTTTGGCAAAATTTATGTTTAGAACCTCAACGAAACTGTGAATGCGGACTTTTGTATTATTTTTTGTGCGCCTTTTTTATACACGTATTGTTTATGTATCCCAATTAAACCTATTCAAAATTTTACTTTTTGGCATGTGTTACACAATAAACAAATCATTTTAAGCAAAACAAACAACAAACTATATTTTCCTTATCCCCAAAACGCACTACCAGATACATACACTTTATTTGTTACCTATTATTATTATTTGTTCGACCTCGGCCCCCACAAATCGTTACATCGGGAAAACTCAGGGAAGCTTACCAATGCTCAGGGAACCACTACACTTAAGAGACCCTTCTATCGACCCTATATATTATATTGTTCTTGCTACACGGAACAAAAACCAGCCAGAAAAGAAAAGAAAAGAACCAAACCAGCATCAGAAGCAGAATCAGAATCAGAAGCATAAGAATTTCTTTCGAAAGGATTTAGCATGGCCAAAAAACACTGATGAAAAAGACGCATATATTCGTACCATTAATAAGAAGATTTTGAATCAGATTAATGTAGTTTATAGCTCTAACGTTCGTTTAAAGATATTCTTAGAAATAGAAACGTATATATATACCCCATATTTGACGCACTTTCCCCCACCCGAAAACCACCTGCGCATTACTTCAAATGCATAATGGTTCGGAGGACACCAGAAATTCTATCTAAATATCTATTTATCTGTTGTTATCTGTCACTCTCCCATGCGCAAGTACCTTGTACATGTATGTGTGAGCAAAATTTGAATTTGAATATTAAATTAAAATTGAATAATCGAAGAAAGCGTAAAATTACTAAAAGGATGAACAAAATGCAACGCATATCACAAAAACATTCAGTACGATAAGAAAGGGAAAATTATTACAAATTAGAACACAAAACTTTAAATCGGAAAATTAGATAATTGAAAATTATTAGTCGAAATTATTAATTATATTATACACAATACATGTGCGTACATATTATTCTATATGTGTACAGGCATATGTACATATGCATATGTTTATATGCCCAAAGCCAAATACATTTCGGAACTACGCTGTTTATTAATTTAACTTTTCGGTATTTAAAACAAAAATCTGTGATTCACTACAAAATTTAAATTTTAAAAATTATTGTATAGCGCCAAATAAGCGATAACGATGTTTAAGCTTAACCACAAGCTAACCAAAGCAAAGCAAAAAGAGAAAAACGAACTTTTTGGATTTTATCTAATAGCCAAATACGATGTATATGCGTTTGCATTTTTCCAAACTTTCGGCTATACATACTCACATGCATATTTTACTGAGCATCGGCGCACTCTCGGATGCCAAGGTGACCGACAGAGATTCGGATTTGGATTCCGATTCGGATCCAGATGCAGATATAGATACACTTGACACGTTTGATACACGCTGACATGTCCTTCACCGATACAAATCAAAGCACAATATATGCAGATTAGTTGTACTCGAAGGAAACCTGAAAGAACATTAAAAATAATATAATGCTATTACTATTTTTTTTTTTTTGTAGGATTTACTAGAAATAATATATATGTAATTTCGAACACTTTTAAAGTCCGAATTTATTAACAAAACAAAAATTAGGAAAGAAAGCAGATGAATAATTATCATAAAGTCAGCAAAGAATTACACGTTAGTAAATAAAAGGCACAAATAACAAGAAACTCATTTCATGCATACAAACATACATGTATACAAACTAATTGTACATTTTCTATTACTAACCCTATTGAAAATCAAACAACATCCCCTGTCAGCATTATTCACGCAAGGCAAAACGGGGATGCAGTAAAGATCGAAAAACACATAAAATATATAAATCGAGTCAGAGGAAGTGTAAAAGATGTTTATCATGACGGATTGCATTCTGCATGCTCAAGTGCACTGGCACCGTTTAAATGTGGTCACATGTTTGACGACGGCAGGAAGGCACGCATCCAACATAAATATATATAAATAAAATAATTACATGTATACAAGGAAAACACTAATTATTAATAAAAACCGAAACAAAAAATGGTATTTGCTTGCTTTTTGGGAGGTGGAATTGGGTTTTCAGCATTGCAAACACAAGCAATGCACTCAAAAATTGAACGAATGCAAATTTAAATGTCGATAACGATGCCCGCTCCTACCAGTGCTGGCCGATAACCATTCTGCTGCTTGCCATCGAACTATCGATACTGCTAGTGCCATCACTTCTCCGATTGGGGCGTATTGGTTGAACAAATTGTAAACAGCGGAGAAAAATCGAGCAGAATGGACCAGTCCATGCCCAACCAGCCGAAGTTCCTGCCCCGCATAGAGAGTAATTCCGCGGGGGCCGCCGCCAACTCCTACGTGGCCACCGCCTCCGGCAATCCCTTCGAAACGGACGAGGAGGATGAAATCTTCAGCAGGCACAAGATGGTGCTCCGGGTTCCCAGCAACTGCACCGGCGACCTGATGCATCTTGCTGTCTCGCGGAATTGGCTCGTCTGCCTGTTGGGCACGCCGGAGCGGACCACTCTGTTGCGCTTCTTCCTGCCTCGCGCGATTCCACCGGGAGGTACGTGATTGTTTGCTCTTGGTCCCGCTCCTTCATCTTCTTCTGTCCTTGCAGAGGCGGTCCTGGAGAAGTACCTCTCCGGCTCCGGGTACAAGATAACCCGCATGTTCCTGGACCCCACGGGGCATCACATCATTATCGCTCTGGTGCCAAAGTCCGCTTCCGCTGGCGTCTCTCCGGACTTCCTGTACATCCACTGCCTCGAGTCGCCACAGGCGCAGCAGGTGAAGGTGCGACGCATCGAGAAGTTCAAGGACCACGAGATAACGGCCGTCGCTTTCAATCCGTACCACGGCAACGAGTCCTCCACGGGGCCCATCCTGCTCGGCACTAGTCGGGGCCTTATCTTCGAGACCGAGCTGAATCCCGCAGCCGACGGTCATGTCCAGCGCAAGCAGCTCTATGACCTGGGTCTGGGCCGTCCGAAGTACCCCATCACGGGTCTCAAGCTGCTGCGAGTGCCCAACAGCAGTCGGTACATAATCGTGGTCACCAGTCCCGAGTGCATATACACATTCCAGGAGACGCTTAAGGCAGATGAGCGCTCGCTGCAGGCAATATTCGCCGGCTATGTGAGCGGAGTGCAGGAGCCGCACTGCGAGGAGCGCAAGACTGATCTGACCTTCTCGCAGCTCCGCTTCTTCGCTCCGCCCAACAGCAAGTATCCAAAGCAGTGGGCGTGGCTGTGTGGTGAGGGCATCCGTGTGGGGGAGGTGAGTAGTTGCTTTTGTTGCATATCGCCTTTCGCTAACTGCTTGGAATTTAGCTATCCATCGAGGGCAACAGTGCCACCACCCTGATAGGAAGCACTTTGATAAGCCTGGACTTCGAGAAGACAATGCATCTGTCGTACGGCGAGCGCCGTCTCAACATTCCCAAAGCGTTCGTACTGACCGAGTACCACGCCGTGCTGCTATACGCGGATCACGTACGCGCCATCTGCCTGCTGAACCAGGAGCAGGTCTACCAAGAAGCATTCGACGAGGCCCGAGTGGGCAAACCGCTTGGCATCGAACGGGACGAGCTTACCGGCTCGATATACGTTTATACCGTAAAAACCGTGTTTAACCTTAGGGTGACGCGCGAGGAGCGGAACGTGTGGCGCATCTATCTCGACAAGGGACAGTACGAGCTAGCGACGGCACACGCAGCCGAGGATCCCGAGCACCTGCAGCTTGTGCTCGGCCAGCGGGCGGATGCCGCATTCGCGGACGGATCCTATCAGGTGGCAGCCGATTATTACGCTGAGACGGACAAGTCCTTTGAGGAGGTGTGCTTGAAGTTCATGGTGCTGCCGGACAAGCGACCCATTATCAACTACGTTAAGAAGCGGCTCAGCCGAATGACCACAAAGCCAGTGGAAACAGAAGAGGTTGACGACGACAGGAAGAACACCATCAAGGCGTTGGTCATCTGGCTTATTGACCTCTACCTCATCCAGATCAACATGCCTGACAAGGACGAGGAGTGGCGCAGCTCG